CCCCACCCACCGCGCAGGGGTGGGGGCCAGGGGGGGGGAGGACAGTAGGTCCCCCCCCTTATTGTTTTACTGGGGCCCCTACCCACCGCGCAGGGGTGGGGGCCGGGGGGGGAGGACAGTAGGTCCCCCCCCTTATTGTTTTATTAGGGCCCCCACCCACCGCTCAGGGGTGGGGGCCGGGGGGGAGGACAGTAGGTCCCCCCCCCCTCATTATCTTCATGGCCCCCACCCGCCGCTCAGGGTGGGGGAGGGGGGGAGGACAATAGGTCCGCCCCCCCTTATTGTAATTTATGTCTTTTTTTTCAACAGTGAGCAGCCATAGGCTGCTCACTGTTTAGTAGACATGCCCCTACTCGCGGTATAGCGAGTAGGGGCATTTGGGAGATTTTAATCTCCCTTGTGCTATTATGGGGGTCATATTGACCCCCATAGAGTGAGAGGGGGTACTGGGGGGGCTTATGAAGTGGTGGGGAGCACTGCTCCCTGCCGCTTCTATAGTTACATATTACAAGGAGGGAGCTGCATGCCGGTAGCTCCCTCCTTGTAATAAACTAAACGAACAAACAAACACTGATACATTGTGTTTGTTTGTTCGGCTGATATTTCTATTCACTCATTCGTCTGTCTGATGGATGAATGAATAGATGAAATTCCCGTTCGCATGTCCAGGTGTTTCACTGGGCATGTGCGGGAATCTCACAGTCTGCCTAGTGTGGGCTGATGACGTGTCCCTGAGGGACTTCACCTACCCACACAAAGATGGCTGCGCCCTGAATATAGATCGGGGCAGAAAATAAGGATTAAAAAATAGGTAATGTGGGGGGCTTAGGGGCATTTGGGGGTGACTAGTGGGTCAATTGGATGTAGTGGAGGCGGGAGGGGGGTTAAAAAAAAAACGGGATTCGGCATGACAGTGCCGCTTTAATACAATGCTACAGTTAAAATATTCACTACATGTAGGCAAATGGATAATTTAACCGTATCAACATTGCATACTATCTAGGGGAAATAATTTAGGTATTATAATTACTACAAAGTAATTCAACATTAATCATTTAAATATGATCATATACAAGGGAGACGGAATAGTTCTCAAGGGGTTTCAAGTGAGTTCTGTGTGCGTATCTCTTTTTTTTTTTTTTTGTTAATATATTTTTATTCAGGTTTTCAATTTTTCAATTTGTCATATATCTTTGAGCAAACTTCAGTTAGGACACGCAGGTCCCGTCAGTGTGAAAAATTAACTATCATTTTGGGAAGCGTTGTTCGGCCAGTTATACGTTGGTGACACGCAGGTCACAGCATGGCACGTATAGGGTCCCTTTCTCTCGCTTTTATTTTATTTATTTATTTTTTCTATTTGTAAACATATTTTTATGGAATAATTTTCAATGTTACTTTGAGAGAAAAAAAAAAAAACAGTAGGAACTCACAGGTCCCATATGAATATTGTGTGTTCGTTTAACTAAATGAGACATAGTGCATCTTAACATAGTGCATCTTAACATAGTGCATCGACACGCAGGTCACTTATGAGAGCTTATGTTAGAGACATAATGGACTCGTAGGTAATAGAGGTCGATACTCTTATGTGGAGAATCGGTGTGCTCAGTTGGGATGCTCTGTTATTTTTTGTTTAGGATCATCTGGTTGTGATATGCTTTCGTGGTATAGGTCGAGTGGGTTACGTAGGCCCTATGCTAGTTTTGCTAAGGTTGGTATTAGTTTTATGTGTTATATCCATGTGAGTACGTATGTCAGTGGCTCCCAAGGGTTTCGATGTGTCGGGTCCTAAATTCGTATTCCTTTATAGACTGTTATATGCGTAATGTGTTTTTGGATGAATAGTAAGTAGGATGCAGAGGTAACTCTAGAGGCATGGGTACCATGCGGTCGTGCTTGGCTGGTATGAGTGGCGTCTGTTTTCATTGTGTGGTGGACTCCCAGGTCCATCCCACTTATGTTGTTTTCCCTCCCTCCCTCCCTCCCTGTGCCTTGTGTCCTAGCCTTGCGTAAGTTAGTCAGCTGGGTTGTTTGTATGTGTGATGTGGGTCTCATGGAAAGGAGAGCTATCCTCGTTCCGTGTGGGATCGTGGCTCTAGGATCAGGATTTTCAGTCTCTAGAGTGATAGTGTGTGTGATTCGCTCAGGGGTCTCCTGTTGTCTATCCCCATCTTGGGTGTTGGTGCATGAGTCGGCTGTGGCGGCTTGGGTTCTATGGGAGGTCCGTATGGTGTTGTTCATCGGGTTCGGGAGGTTGTTGCGAGTACAGTACGCTGCTACGTCCTGTGGCCTCATTGGTTGCATTCGTGGGGCGTATCTCTTTTTTTTAATACATTGCGGATTGCCTCACAATTTTTTTTAAAAGATTTATTTGAATTATATATATATATATATGGGAAGGTGGAGCCTGGAGTTGTAGGAGGGGATGATCCAGCCTAAATAAGCTCAAACTTACCTCCATATGGGGCCGACGTCGATTGGTCACTTCCGGTACCGGTTTTCGGCCAGAAAGCACCAACTCCAACTGCGACAGATCCCGCTCACCTCCAGGCCCCAGCATCGCCAGGGAAATTCCCCTCTGGTGGCACTCCCAGGCCCAGCGACAGCCAGCATTCCACACAGGCCTTGCAGAAGGCCCACGCACCGTGGAGCAGACACTCCAGCCATGGCCATTTGTAAACGGTAACTCCCAACACGCTAAAGCCACTAAGCTTCCGGGGGAACCTCCTTAACTTCTAGGTCAGCGTCCGAGCACCCGGTAATTGTGAGTAAATACGAATGTGCCAAAACCACCTATCGGGTTTTGGCATACGCACGAATGCAAGTCAGGGGGTACTTAAATTACACTTGCAATATTTTCTCTTGAACTGTTGAACCTCGCATCTAAGAGCGTAAACTAATACAGGTTGAAACTACCCGAAACACACTCGTACGAACGCGGCAAAAGCAATACAAAACGCACATTAAATGAATTAACACTGAATACGTGCACACTCATACGAACCGGCTTTACATCACCAGTCGCACAGGCATCCGTACAGAAGAGACCACGGTTAGTCTCTCCTGCACATAAAAGTAAACATTTTGTTCCGTTCAAACAGTGTTCCTACGCTTCATGTAATAACACATGGCAACACCGCCACCTACTGGCAAACTACACAGTATTATAGGTCGTATTATAGTGCAAAGTATAAAACTATGTCATTCATTAATATACAAACGGTCAAGGATTAATTTGAAATTCAGAACACGTCATGTTTTAATCATGTATCAAGTTTGGCATTATGCTTAAATTAAATGTTAGTTTGGATTTGGTCACAAATTCAGGGCCAAGCAACCCTAATCGTCGGGAAATGCAAATTGGTTGGAATAAGCTGGGATGGTTTGGAGCATAAGAAATTGATATGTTCCGAAGTTGAGTTTTTAAATAATTTAATTATGAAACTTTTTTTTTCTATTACTGTGTTTATTATTGAGCCAATCTCATTGTCCTTATTGTACTCACAAAATACTGTTTAATACTTATCGCTCATCAATTATCTTGGGTACACGGTATGTTAAAAGTTGGGCGGCAACTAGGGGAGAGGAGGGAGGAAAAGGTGAAGTCACAATCTGGACAGTCGACTAAACACTTACTAAGGCTCAGTCATGGCTCCAAGTATTAATACGGGTGTCCTAGGGGTTTATATTAGTATAAGGGTACTAGGCTTTCCAGCAGAGAGTCTTGACATTTCATAGATATGGTTAATTACAGTCAGAACTACTACCGGCCTACAGCACCGGCTCAGACGGATACGTAAGTGTCTACCCGTATACACGATATGTACCCCATATATACAACCCGCAATCCACTTACCAGGTACAAAGCATTATTTACATAATATGAGCACACCTAAATATTCAAAATTAAGCAAAGCCTCATTTTAATACCCAGGAAAATAATTTCTGACAGTTATACCTTTTGTTAAACATGTATATCAAGGCCTCACTCTGCCTGTTATGTTCACGAATCGGGCTTATTTAGGCATGGCAGCTGACCCACGTTAGGTCCTCATATACGTTTATGTCCATGTAGTGACTTCTGTAGTACTATTTCCTTTCCAGCTTTTACAATTACTCCGTTAGGCCACAGACAATTCTTTTAATTGGGTTACTATTCACTACTTTGGCAATCCTTGAGGTGGGATTACAGAACATCCAGTTCTATTTATACCATGCAGGGATTAATACCAGCTCTTAAATATAGTATCTTCCAGGTGTACCCTTTCATTAATTTCATTATCAATTCATGTTATAGTACCAATCATCATTCAGTCACAGTAATGCTATGTTGTCAAACAGCAAGCAATGTTAAACTCACATTAGGCGTGTTTCAAATACATTAGCTACCAATCAAACACGACTACGTCAATCACTACAACTACGATTCAGGTTAACCCAGTTAGCATGTCTGCTAAAATATACGGTAAACTAGAGTTTCCTGCTTGTTTCACATCAACGGCGAGGCCTCACTCTGCCTTCATTACGACCACTGAATACAATTCAAACCCTTATCATTTACCAAGGGCTTGCCTCTGCACGCCTGACACTCGCTAGGTCCTCCATACACATTCAATCATACGTTACGCAATTTAATATTAAATACGTTTTACCATTTTACTTTACGTTCAAATATACATTGGGTTAATGACTTTCTGGCATGATATGTTTTCTGTCTAGATACGTTACACCCGTAGGCATTCTTAGGATACAGACTATTCGCGTTCCCAAGCCTTGCAGGTAAAGATCATAATGTTGTTATACCGACACACAGGGCTGCCATCAGAAATGTTGGGGCCCCTGACACAGCTCAAGGTCTGGGCCCCCCGGTGCCTGCACCCGAGTCCGCCCAAAGTGCTGCCCCCCCTCCCCCCTCCGAATCCGCCCACAGGGATGCAGTGTCTGCAGGACTGGTGCAAGGATTTTTGCCGCCCTAGGCAAAAGTAAAGTTTGCCGCCCCCCCATGTGACATCACAATGCCCCACCCATATGATCTGCCATGTTAACTAACACCAGTGCTGCGGTGTTTGCATTAAAAGGCATGCAGGGACAGGCTAGACACCAGAACCACTACATTAAGCTGCAGTGGTTCTGGGGACTATAGTGTCCCTTTAATGTGAGGTAAATTAGAGATTAGTGCCACGAATAATATACTAGATTGCCTACTTACAACCAGATGAGGATGATGATGGGCTGTAGCTGCCGTCTGGCTCCACTGGTCTGGTGTACAACAGGCTCTCTGGAGGCGGTTTGTAACTGTGGTCACAAAAATCACTGTTCTGGAAAAACGGGAAGCAGCTCCATTTTTTTGAGGGCCATTTACACAGCTCAAGGTCTGGGTCCCAGGGTCCACCTTCATGTTCCACCAATGAGTTTGTTCACAGGGAGTGGAGTGTGTGTGTGGGGGATGTCCTGATGTGTGTAAAGAATGCATTGTGTGAATCTGTGTTTGTATGTGTAAGGGCTGCAAGATGAGTTTGTGTATGTATGGGATGCAGTGTGTGCGTCTGTAAGGGATGCATTGAGTGTGTGTAAGGGGTGCATTGTGTGTTGCAGTGTGTAAGGGATGCATTGCTTATGTACGTGTGTCTGTGTGTAATGCATTGTGTTTTTCTGTGTGCAAGGTGAGCATTGTGTGTGATGGATGTCAATCTCTCCCCCTCCCCCCGTCAATTTCCTTCTCCCCCTCCCTCCCTCTCTCCAATTTCCTTCTCCCCCTCCCTCTCCAATTTCCTTCTTCCCCCCCCCTCCAATTTCCTTCTTCTCCCCAATTTCCTTCAATTTCCTTCTTCCCCTCAAGTTTCCACTTCTTCTCCATCTCATTTCCTTCTCTCCCAGATCCCTCAGAGTTCCTTCCTCCTCCAGATCCCTCAAATTTCCTTCCCCTCCTCCGTCCCTCAAATTTCTTCCCTCTCCGTCCCTCAAATTTCCTTCCTCCTGCAGATCCCTCAAATTTCCTTCCTCAGATCCTCCAAGATTTCATTCCCTCTCCAGATCCATAGTTTTATTTCCTCTCCCAGATCCCTCAAATTCCTTCTCTCCCAGATCCCCTCCATTCCTTCCTCCGTCCACTCGAGTTTCCTTTCTCTCCCCTCCCTCAAATTTAATTCAGCTTCCCCCCTCCCCTCAAATTTAATTCCTTTCCCCTCCCCTCAAATTTTCTTCCTCTCCCCCCCTCCCTCCATTTCCTTCCTCCTCCCTCCTCCCTCAAATTTGATTTCCTTTCCACCCTCCCCCCCTCAAATTTGATTCCTCCTCCTCCCTTGATTTCATTTCCTGCCCCCCCTCACCCCAGATTTCATTTCAGTCCCCCCTCCTCAAATTTAATTTCTTCCCTCCCACTCCCCTCAAATTTAATTTCTTTACTCCCTCCTCCGATTTCATTCCTTCCCCACCCATTTTCATTCCTTCCCTTCCGTTTCGCTTCCCTCAGTTTTGTTTTCATACTTCATCTCCATTTCATTCCCCCATTTCATTATTTCATTCCTTCTCCCCCTTCCATCTCATTCCTTCTCCCCCCTTCCCATTTCATTTCCTTCTCCCCTTCCCATTTTCATTCCTTCTCCCCTTCCCATTTCATTTCTTCCACCCCCCCAATCCTTCTCCCCATCTCCCACTTCATTCCTCCCCCCATCTGTCACTGGCGGCGGGCGGGCGATGACGTCATCTTCCGGCTCCGGCATCAGTACGGTGCACGAGGGAGCTGAAGAGGAAGCACACACAGAGTGCTCCCTCGCGCGCCGGATGGCTTTCAGGGCCAGCCTCTGGGGGGCCCCCGAGGTGACCGGCTGCTGGGCCCCCCAGGAGAAGAGGCTGGCCCTGTGGGTACATACCGGGTCGCAGGACCTCCTGCGACCCGGTATGTATCCACTGAATGTGGGGCCCGGACCACCTGAGCAGTCCGGGCCCCCCAGGACCGCCGGGCCCATGACAACCGTTGCAGTTGTCATGCCCTGATGGCGGCCCTGCCGACACATATCGTCTTTAGGTTTACACCACAATCAGACTCTCCTCTTCACGTCCCGCTTATAAAGTGCACATTTCATTATACTGTATATTTTATAATAATAAATAATTTTGTAGTATTATTCCTTTGTACAATTTTATTACCTTTCCTGGCATTTTACTTATCCTAAGGTGGGGATTATACCACCCACGCTATCATCTGAGTGCAGACAGGCCTGCACTCTACTTGTGAGTATATTTTTTTTATTTTTACTTCAACCTATCTCTACATCGTGTATCTCTACATCGTGTCATCAGAGAGCACTATTGGTTGTTTTTATTTCTTTTTCCTTGAGAATTGGATACCATCACTCTCCGGAGGACAAGCATTCTCACATCCTACAAGCAGGGATTAATCCGCTGTATGCCTGTTACACCTGAGCTGGCCGTAGCTCATTCGAATGTGAGTGTACAATCTATTGACATCTATCTTATACACTCTGCACGATTGGTCCTTTCTCATTGTGTCTTTTATATCGTGAGACGATCTACTTCAAACAGAGAAGATATCCTACCAGCTGAAACAGCAACTAACAATATATAATCTCTAATATAAATTGGGACTTTTTTATATATATATATATTATATATCTTTTATTCGTGTATTTTTATTTTTTTATTTTTTGGCGCAGCCTTCCCTTGCTTTTGTTGTACACTTTTATTGTAGAGGGTTAGAGGGTGACCCTCTGTCAGGCCGCTGCCTTTTTTATATTACTAGCGCTAACCTACCTCTCTATCTTTCTTTCATTTTTTTTCCCCGTCTGTTAGCAACTGCATTCCCATTCTATTTTTTCAGTCCTGATCTGGGTGAACAACATATTCAAAAATCACTAGGAATGTGCATGGGGAAAAAATTCGGTTCGGTTCGACATTCCGAAATTCGGAACTTCGGCGCTTCAGGACTTCGGCACTTCGACACTTCGGACCTTCAGCACTTCGGAATTTCAGAACTTCGGGACATCGGAATTTCGGGACTTCAGATGTTCTCTTGCATCCAGTTAGTAGATAACTCGCTAATTCACACGGTATTAGGGAGCTATCTACCAAAAGGCTGAAAGACCTAAATTGGTCTTTCAGCCAAATTGACTAATACTAAGTAAACCTTACGAGTGGGGGCTTTTAAACTGAAGGGGGGACCTATTTCCCCCCCCCCGGCCCTCACCCCTGAGTGGTGGGTGGGGCCCTAAAACACTTTAAAGGGGGGACACCTATTGTCCTCCTCCCTGACCTCCACCATTGAGCGGCGGGTGGGGGCCCTAAAGTAAAATAAAAGGGGGGGACCTATTGTAAAAATGCCCCACCCCCAGGTGACTAGGGGTCCCCAGTTCCCTAGTCACCCCCCGCCAAAAACAAGTATTCAAATCCCTACCTACCCCCCTCACCCTAAAAATAGTGAGGGGGGAACAATAATTAAGTACCTGTAAAAAAATTAAATAAATAAAACTTACCATTTGAGGTCTTCTTTTTTCTAAAATCTTCTTTTTTCAGCCCCAGAAAAGGCCACATAAGACCATAATATCCATCGCAGGGGGAGGACAGTAGGTCCCCCTTATTCTAATTTAGGGCCCCCACCCACCGCTCAGGGGTGGGGGCCTGGGGTAGGACAATAGGTCCCCACCTGCCGCTCAGGATTGGGGCCCGGGGGGCCAATAGGTTCCCCCTTTATTTTAAAAGCTCCAACTCGTGCATCATGGGTGGGAGATCAGATGGGGGGCACCTAGTTTTTTCTTTGTTTTTTTACAGTGAGAAGCCACAGTATGCTCACTGTTTAGTAGACATGCCCCTACTCGCGGTATAGCGAGTATTAGTAAATTTGGCTGAAAGACCAATTCAGGTCTATACCGTGGGAATTAGGGAGTTATCTACTTATTCATTCCTGTCATTCCATTGACTGGCTAAGTAACTTTACATTTTGTATAAATGCATGTTACTTGATTGTTGTAAGTGTTGCAAATGCTTACAGCTGAATCCTGGCTATGTTTGTTTACTTTTTATTTAAACTTGTATACAGTATAACATTCTTCATTCTTCCACTGGGTAAGTATATTAGTACTTCGGCAATACTGTGCTTTGGCACTTCAACACTTCAGAACTTCGGCAGTTCGGGACTGCAGCAATTTGGCACTTCGGCAATTGAGCTATTCGGACATTCGGAAGTATCTGAATGTCCGAATTGCCCAAAATTTGTCCGAATTAACATTCGGTCCGATCATATTGTGTTCTTGGTAGAATTGAAACCACAGTTTCAGTATGCCATACCGGATTGGAGACTCCAAGGACAATTACTTCTATCGAAGGAAAATTAAAAGTACATTGCAGATTTGATAACCCACAATTTTAATGATAACTCAGGTACCGGAGTTTCTACAGATACAATGTGGTGCACCTTCAAATGTGGTATTAGGGGACACTTATTCAAACTGGCTGCACAGGCAAAGAAGAAAAGAGGGGAAAGTTTGTCCCAACTATACATAAAATTAGCACAATATAATGGTAAAAAAAAAAGCTTGCACCTTCTAAAGTAATAACAGAAAGATTTAAACAAGTTGAGAATAAAATAAATAAACAATTATTATATAGAGCCAATAGAAACCTGGAAATCTTAAAATCCAACTTCTACTACAGAGAAAAAAGGCCCACAAGCTACTCCCAAACAAAATAGACATGCTAAAAACCATATAAATACAATTATTTTAGGACATCAGACATGTCTAGCGCCAAAAGAAATAGGATTAGCTTTCACATCATATAATCAAGTATTATACAATTTATCAGATCATACTTCACATTTCCAACATACAATTGTGCATTATCATCTTAGTATCCCTATACTTAGGAACTTTTTATAAATTTGACAAAATAAAAGTTACTTTTTAACCAGTATTTCACCACAATCTGCTCTCAAAAATAACAATAGAAATAAACTACATGGAGTCGAAAACTTAGTACTACAAAGCCTGCTGAATTTTTGGAAAAAATTTAAGAGCCAAACAGTGTATTCATCAGTAAGCTGTCTTAATATAAATAAGAAATAAAATTTATTGGACAGGTGAAATGGCATTGTTACACTCAAACTTGCCATCTCTACCTAAAAATAAAAAAATGGTTTTGATCCACATTCCGATGGCTTTTAAAAGTTCAATTCCTAAAAACTGGAAATCTGCTAAAGTAGATTCCTGGCCCCAAATAAGAGAACAAGTTAAATTTGAATGTAAAATGGAATGAGGCCCTTGATAGGATGACATAGCAGGGAGTTGAAAACCTAAGCTGTCCCACATGCTGATAGTTAAACCAACTATATGCATCCTAAAGTATGATTTAACCCTTTACTGAACGGATATGAAGTAGTTAACTTTTCTTGTTCATATGTATTTTATGCTTAGATAAGGTTTATAATCATTAGTGCTGACTGTGAGGATATGAAATAGTTAAACTCTTTTTGCTTTATATGCTTTAAAACAATGTTTGAAATAATTATGCTGACCTTGGTAGATGTATTCTGTAACATGCTCTGAGAGGCCTCCCTTCTACATGATGTATGACCTCGCTCGACCTCAAGATGTTCCTGTCCCGTCTTTATTCAAATGCTTATCTTTTAATGTCAGAGAAGTATGTACTATTAACTATAAGGAAGCGATAAATCTCTCTGCTTGCGTGACAAACTGTGTATAAATGCTAGCTCTGAAAATACACTCATTTGAGAACTTGTTAAGCACTCTTTCGTGTCTGTCGTTATTTGCTAAACAAGAACTCCCGTCAATTGATGTAGTGACCGGAGAATCGAGAATCCAGGGGAGTTGAGTCCAGAACAGCATTAACCCTTTCATTTACGTCTCTATTTTTTTTTTTTTTTTTATTCTTTAGTTTTGATGTCCATAGGAGTATCATACAATCCTGCAATGCCACAGCAGCAACAGCAGAGATGACAAATCTTAAGAATAGTTAAGAGGCATGTGAGATACCTGCACAATATTTGTATGTAACAGAAAATATAGGTTAGAGAGACGTGTCAAGAGTAGACGAGGTCACTGAGCTTGCGGTTTACGTAAGGAAGTTACCTTGCATGGTGATAAAGTTAATAACATTTGTTGTGAAGCATGCTTATAAGAGTTATTGAAAAACAGGCTAAAACATATTCTGCTGGCGTGTCTAAACAAGTTGCTTAAGCTAATCCTTTAACTGTATAAAACTGGCTAGGTAGTACCAAAACATAAATACTGCCTAATGTGTGAAATGTACAAGGCATTTATATAAGAAACATATCGTAGGTCGAAGGGGATATTAGACTGATGTGAGATGTCTCTTGATTTGGATTCTGCTGATACAGGATACCAGGTGAAAGCCCATTGATTGTTCTCTGCCTAGCCTATACACAGCATGGATTCAGAATTGTCCCACAGGTTGGACGTATGTAGAGGTTCACTGTTCAGTGCAACAGTGTATTCATCAGAAGGGGACAGGACGGCAGGTAAGTGTGGTACCCAGCACCTTTGTCACAGCTGGTGTGGGACTAGCTCCAAACTGGCCTCCTCCGGCTGCTTTGTTTCTTCGAAAGCCTTCTCTGGTTAAGCCCCCTTTGGCGAGTTATCTCTGCTCGGGGTATGAGGAGCGCTCGGTCAAGCATTCAGAGTTAAGGTGAGTATCCGTGATTTGACCATGTCAGGCTGCTGGTGGTGAGTCGAAGGTAAATTCAAGTGTGTTATGTTTTTCTTCACATTGTCTGTTATAAAATAAGTGCAACTTTTTTTACAAATTCAAGTTATCAATGTATGTATGTTTATAAAAGATGAAAATCAATAAAGAAAATTAAAATGAAAAAAAAAATATATATATATATATGTATATATATATATATATATATATATATACATACATACTCACATTGAGGGGATTTCAGCTTGAACACTGTTTCTTTGATTATTAATGGCAAATGAGGGGCACAGCAATGGGGACATATTGTGCTCCATGTTATGCCAACCTTTGCCTAGCTACATGGGAAAAGTGAGTGGTGTTCACTACCCAAAGTGTACCTTTCACTGAATTCATACATAATGTCTGATCATATAGACAAAAATCATGGACTTGTTTGAAAGATAGTTGGCTATTTTAAACAACATTGACTACCACCAGTTGGTCTTTTTGGATCCCAGTTGATTTGCATGATAGCATAAAGACAGGCCTCTTTAAAAACCAGCTTCCACAAACAGTCTTCTAAACTGGTCTAGTTTCAACCTACACCAGGGGTGGGCAACCTTTTGGCAGCACTGTGCCGAAATAAGAATGTGATGTCCCATAGCATATGTCCATGAGTAGTTTGTGGTATTGTGTACCTATGAATGTGGGCTATGTATGAGGGCTGCTTGAGGAATTGTGTGTGGATGGAAATGTAACATTGTGTGTTTGGTAGTGTGTGTATATGTTTGGGGTATTAAATGTGAGAGGTTGTGTGCATGTATGTAGATTCTTAGTGGTGTTGAGTTTGTGCAGATTGTGTGATTGTTTGTGTGTGGGCTGTGATTCTGCATTTCTGTGTATATCTAGCAGTGTGGATGGCTTCCCTGGGTTCTAGTGGGGAGCAGGCTGGCCAGGTACAGGTCAAGGACAGGAGCTGCAACAGCAGCTGCGAGTTCCTCTACTGCCATGTGGATTCCCAGTCACAAGTGCTGCAATGCATGAATTGAGGAATGTCCTTCACCACATTTTCGTATATCTGAAGTCAGGGCCGCCATCAGAAAATTTGGGGCCCATGACAAAGCACAAGGTCTGGGCCCCCACCCCCCTCCTCGCGGGCCCGCCCACGCCCTACCTAGTCCGCTCACAATGATGCAGGACTGAATGTGGTGTGTGTATAGTGGAAGTGAATTAGAATGTGTGTAATGGATGTAGTGTTTGTGTGTATTAGATACTGTTTGTGCAATGAATGCAGAGTGTGTGTTTGTGTAGCGGATGCAGTGTGTATAGTGAACGCAGAGTGTTTTTGAGTAGTGGATGTAGTGTGTGTACAGTGATGTAGTGTGTGTTTGTGTAGTGGATGTAGTGTTTGTATGTACTAGATGAAATGTGTTTAGTGGATGCAGTGTCTGTAGTGTGTGTATCAGACGCAGTGTCTGTGTATAGTGAATGCAGAGTGTTTCAATTTGTGGTGGATGTAGTGTGTGTACTGTGAATACAGGATGTTTGTGTAGTGGATGCTGTGTGTACAGTTAATGCAGAGTGTATGTTAGTGTAGTGAATGCAGAGTGTGTGTCAGTATAGTGAGTCCAGAGTGTGTGCATAGTTTAGTGAATGCAGAGTGTATGTTAGTGTGTAGTGAATGCAGAGTGCGTCAGTGTAATTAATGTAGTGTGTGTGTTAGTGCAGTGAATGCATAGTGTGTGTAAATTTGTAGTGAATGCAGAGAGTGTGTTAGTATGTAGCGGATGCAGAGTGTGTGTTAGTGTCGTGAATGCAGTGTTAATGTGTAGTGAATGCAGAAAGTGTGTTAGTGTAGCGGATGCAGTGTGTGTTGCGTTAGTGTATGCAGTGTGTGTTGCGTTAGTGTATGCAGTGTGTGTGTGTGTTAATGTATGCAGTGTGTGTGTGTCAGTGTATGCAGTGTGTGTGTCAGTGTATGCAGTGTGTGTCAGTGTATGCAGTGTGTGTGTCAGTGTATGCAGTGTGTGTGTCAGTGTATGCAGTGTGTGTCAGTGTATGCAGTGTGTGTGTCAGTGTATGCAGTGTGTGTTGTTGTGTTAGTGTATGCAGTGTGTGTGTGTTGGTGAATGCAGTGTATGTGTGTTTTTGTATGCAGTGTGTGTGTGGTGTTAGTGTATGCAGTGTGTGTGTTGTGTTAGTGTATGCAGTGTGTGTTGTGTTAGTGTATACAGTGTGTGTGTTTGTTAGTGTATGGAGTGTGTGTGTTGTGTTAGTGTATGCAGTGTGTGTTGTGTTAGTGTATGCAGTGTGTGTGTTGTGTTAGTGTATGCAGTGTGTGTTGTGTTAGTGTATGCAGTGTGTGTGTTTTGTTAGTGTATGCAGTGTGTGTGTGTGTGTTAGTGTATGCAGTGTGTGTTGTTAGTGTGTGATCTGGGGGGAGGGGGAGGAAGGGGCATTTTAACATTAATTTTTTATTAAATTAATTAAATGTTTCTCCCCCCCTCACTGCTTACCTGTGTCCATGGAGGTGGGAGATTCCATCCCTGGTGGTCCGGTGGGGGGCCCCCCGGCTCCCTGTTACCGCAGAGGGGGCCCAGGCAGCACATAGCTTCTCCTCTCTTCTCATAACTCTCGCGAGACCCGGTTACCATGGCAACGCTCCGCGGGTCTCGCGAGAGTTATGAGAAGAGAGAAGAGAGGAGGAGAAGCTGTGTGCTGCCTGGGCCCCCTCTGCGGTAACAGGGAGCCGGGGGGCCCGCGGCTGCACACATAGATAACGATATTCGCTATCTATGTGTGCAGAAAGGGAAAGTGGGGCCCAGGACTGCAAGAGCAGTCCGGGCCCCCCAGGGCCGCCGGGCCCGTCACAACAGTCACGGTTGTCACCCCCTGATGGCGGCCCTGTCTGAAGTTTCACTGGGACTCCTGACTGTTATATCTGAAGTTTCACTGGGACTCCTGACTGTTTGGCTCGGGCAGCCTTGAGTGCCGTGCAAAGACATCTTGAGTGCCGTGCATGGCACATGTGCCATAGGTTGCCTACCCCTGACCTACACCATTAAAACAGAAATTCAGTTTAAACTCAGACTTTGAAATGGAAACGAAAACAATCCAGGATATATTTTTGAAACAAGGATATTCAAAAAAGAATTCCAAGAAGGCATACTGGAGAGTGAAAACAAACTGAACGAGAAGCCGAATTAGTTCCCAAGACGTTCCCTATTGGTAACACCATTAGATGCCACCATTGATCCAGGTTGAAATTAGGTGATTGAGTAGCAATGAACCAGTTGTGGCCTATTTATTATAAGCAATCCAGAATTTAAACCAGTGATTTCAGACTATCCGTTCATTGAGCACCTAATTTGAAAATCCAATTAGTCATGGTCATTTGAGTCCCATGAGAATTCAATCCTCCTGACTAACCAGAATAAGAGGAACCTTTCATTGTGGGAAAGGCTCTGCCTGATCATTCAGTCTTCAATCCAAACATTTCAGAGCACCATCACAAAACAAACATATTCTATGATCATGTTCATGAATTGTAATTCAACTCAGCTACTGTATCTTATTAATATGTGATTAATATGTGGGCAAAACTTAGCATATATTCCAAAATAGGATCTTAGCAAACCTACTTCATCAGAAAATCAAATATTGACATGTACGCCGGTATAGGATGCATACATTTCCCACGAAGGGGACTCCCAAAGGGAAAAAAACTCCTCAAAGCAAATAATCCAAAGAAGACCCATGGTGATCCAGGCCTGAGGATGTCCCTATTTCCTGGTAACATGATTCCAGCAAATCAAAGATGGACCAGACACTCAGCAAAATGAATTTAACAGCTTTTTTAATGAAGCAATACACAGAGCAACATTTTAGCCACCATTTGTGACCTTACTAAGTCATACCAAATATTGCAATCATCAGTGTTGAAATAGCAAAAATATTTAGTGGTGTGAACGCATAGTTTTTACCACATAGGTGTTTAAAATG